ATTTTTTTAGTATATTACTTGTGTGGTGTAGAAGAGAATTATCTATGTAGAGATACTGCTTGCAAACCAATGATGTAAGATGATGTCATGGGGTAGGACTGGATAAGTCTGACTTCTTTCTACTCCATTCAAGCATGTATTAGGTATAAGCAAATTGATATTGGATTAGCATTTGTTGGATATGTGTAAAATTATGTGTGTTGACATATCAACTGTCTTTACATGCTTGAAAGAATAAATCAAATCAAAATCAAATCAAATAAGTTGAATACCTTTTTCATTCTAGCCCCTCCATCATACATAGACTCATGTTGTCCTGCAGCAGATGTGCAGTAAAATTGCAGCACTCCTGAGAACTGAGCCACTATCATTTCATTACTCATGCATTTTTCATGGTGATCAAGCATGAAATATTGATTTAGAAACATCCACTGTTTTTTTAGACATTGGTATCATGACCACAGGTTTGTCCCAATGCAGAATTTCTACAACATATAAACATTATCAATACAAATATATCATTTGAAGAATGAGAGGAACAGGTAGGTATAGCTTTCATAAGTGGATTTTTTAAGAATCTTTTTGTCATGCACAGTGGTTTTTAGTCTTTGAAATGTGCTTGCTTATCTTGAGCATCACTTTGCAGTAAATGTACTGTTTTATTTGCTTCAGTAAACAGATATACAACATTTGTTGTCTTCCTTGTGATGAGCAGTTCAATAATGAAAATGCAAAAACAGAAGCTCTATTGCCATTACTACTTATCCATGTTCATATATTACACTTTTGCCTACACATACAGCATATAAGCTACTCTCATATACATGCAGTACATTTGTATACTTTCTTACATTAAAATTTGTCATAAAATGTGTAGTGTCCACTTAATTAAACACATAAAGATAGCAACATTTTATTAACATTAACATATGAAACACTTGTGCCCATCCTCTGACTTGGTGGGCAAGAATGTGGCCACGAATAGACACACCAACATAAGTTTGAAAGGTTGTAATCTCACCTGTAGCAACTGACCACCGTGTAACAGAATCATTTTGGGTGTGAAAAATGAGCTCTACTTTATTATTTAATGAGACTGTGCATTTTCTAGCTCTGCACACACAGGTAGCTGCTGTCAGTCTTTGCTTCAGGTTAACTGTGTTTCTTACCTGCTGTATTTGTACAGAAAGCCTCAGAACAAAACAATTGTGCAGCTGCAGTGTAATTTCAGCATATTTACTGTTTGCTTAATGAACTTTGCATAAAGAAACCTAACCCTTCATTAAATTTTTAGGACGTCTGGTCTTCTTGTGTGTGCGGTTTCCATTAACAAGATGAGTGAAAGTGTGTCACTTTAGATAATGCAGTCTTTTGGCCACTTAGGAAAAACAAAGCAGGACAGCTACAGAACAACAATGAATAGCATTATGTCTAAGGATCAGTACAGGCCTGGTATGACCTATAGCTGTGTAATCATAATAGAATCTAAATGTCCCAGCAGCTGGAGGATTTTTGTTTGGTCAGCTACAGTGGTTTCCACAGTTTACTGCATCGCTCCAAGAACACCCGTTCCGAGCAGGTCACATGCAGCAATCGTCATAGTGACTGACCAGTCAGATACCTGAGACTGGTCGAGCACCACGGAGGACAGACACTTTTATTTTTCATCATGCCCAGAAAAAATCTTGCCGCTGAATTGGAAGAAGGTGAGTTGAAGATTAGGACTGGAAGATTAATTTGTTCTGTGTAAGTTACAATCATGTGTGCAGCTGATATTCAGTGTTTTAGTACCTCTTTTTTAAATGACATCTTTTATTCTACTATGTTCACTCTCATAGTTTAACAGCAGAGGTTGATGAGAATGTTAGTAGTACTGCATGTACGGTATTTCATCATAAACCAAAATAGTGGACAAAGTCAAATTTTGACCTGATAATGGCAGTAGATGAAAACAAATTTCATAGCAAACCATTCATAGCCATCCATACATTTCATTAAAAATAAAAAATGTCACCTTCATGGTGCTGCTATAAGAAATGTCAGTGGATCACCAAAGTCAATAGGATTTACCCTCTGGGAACCATGAATGCCAGAACAAGCCATCCTAAAGTTGTTGAGATATTTTAGTGATACTAAATTGTCATCCAGGTTTTTAATAATCAGATATATTTTAAAAAGTTTGATTTTTATGAAAAGAAAAACGTGGTCTCAATAATAATGACATAAATTTTAAGCTAGAGCCCACCTGCAGTGAATTTAGCTCATTATTTATAGAACAGTATTATAATTACTGGTGTTGCACGTGCTCACGGTTTGTTGAGGTGGATGAGTATTTGATTAAGTTGTGCTGTTTTTTGTGTTCTTCCTCAGTTGGGATAGAAATCGATGGGGAAGTGAGTGACAGTGATGGTGAGTGGATTAAGCAGTTTGTCTTGAACCTGATTAAATAAATTAACAGTACAGGTCGATCTAATTCTGAGAATACTATGGTGTGGTTTATTTGGTCTGGATTTAGATAGCGGCACCCGAAAGCGAGCAAACAGGAGGCCAGCAGCCAAAAGAGGAGGTGCAAAGGGAAGAGGCCGTGGAGCCGATGAGGACGAGGATGATGAAGATGAGGAGGAAGATGAAGCTCCTAGAGGGCGCAGGAAGAAGAAGCCCACCAAGAAACGGAGAGATGCCAGTGATGATGAGGATGACAGTGAGGATGAGACTCCCAAGAAAAAACGAGGAGGAGCAGCCAATAAGAAGAAAGGAGGCAAAGCCCAGGACAGTGATGAGGAGGACAGTGATGTGGGGAAAGGAAAGAAGAGAAAGAAGGGAGGAGGAAAGAAAGGAGGGAAGGAGGAAGAAGACAGTAAGGGTAAGAAGGGTGGTGCCAAAGGGAAGGACAAGGGGAAAGACAAGGATGATGACAAGGACATGAAGAAGAAGAAGAAAAAGAAGAAAGATGAGAGGTAGGCCAAAGGAAGTACTGTTAGTTCAACATTGCCCCAGATCCAAAGTTCATAGCAATCTGCACATTAAAATGATATATGCCACCTGCAAAGTGTATATTTTGTCTGACTGGCTCTAATGGAAAAGACTAATTGTTTGTGGAGCATGAAAGTGCTCAGTAAATTGCATTATTTGTGCATAAGCTGAATCGTTGTCTTAATGCAAACATCAGAGGATGACCTACTGTAAGTCATTAGGATTAAGGTGATCAACTTGTATCCAAGTTGGTCATTTTAATTGGAGGGTGGCACCAGTGGAAAGTCTTGTAGTGAGCATACATAACAGCAGAAAACATCATGGTAATTGTTCTGCAGTCTTTGGTACAACATATCAACCTTAGTTTACTAAATAACAGCAGAAAACATGGTAATTGTTCTGCAGTCTTTGGGGTACAACATATCAACCTTAGTTTACTAGTTGTGTGACCAAAAAGCCATTTTTAGCTAAGTTAGCAGTGTAACTCTAGGGATATCTAAGTTGATCCATTGCTAGGGGTCTAACCATTTTGATCCAGACTAAAATATTGTAACAACTTTGAGCTGAAGTGATATGAAGTTGTTTTTTTACAGTCATTCACGGTCCCCAGAGGGTGATGCCTACTCATTATGGTGATCATCTGACCTTTCCACAACTTTGCCATTTTTGGTTTATAGTAAAATGTCTCAACACGTATTGGAAGAATCCAGAGGATACTACTGCCCAGAGGATAAATCCTAAGGACTTTTCTTCTAGTTCCACTCTGATATTTGCAGTTCTGAGTAAAATGTCCCAGCAACTTGCATAAGGATTGCCATGCAACTTGGCCCACAGGTTTTTGTCCTGTCCAAGATGGTTTTGGTAATTCCCTGACTTTTCAGCGAGTGCCACCACCTGGTCAGATTTTTATTTGTCCATTACATTGGACATACTGCCCTAGCAAGTCGGCATTATATCATAATAAACTTAGATAGTAATCATGTTAAATATTATACCCAGGAAACACCCTAAAATACCCTCTGTCTTCACTGCCTTTTCTCCTCCAGTTCATCTGACTCCAGCTCACACTCCGATGATGAGGAGGAGGAATCCTTGTCAGAGGGAGAGATGGCCCGGCTGAAGGAGGAGGTGGAGGAGAAGAAGAAACTGATTGCTAATATCAGGAACAAGCCATGGAGGATGAAGCGGAGGCTCATGCACCTCAAGTAATCATCTGCTTTTAATTCTGGAAGAGGGTTCTTACATGCAACACAGCTTTTCATGGAGTTAGTATTTATTTTTGTTGGACTGTTGTCTAATATGACATTGTCTCTTTCTAGGGAGGCTCAAACATTTGTGGATAAGTTTGAAGGAGCTTTGGGCAAAGGAAAAGGCAGGAAGTGGTATGCCTACAAAGTGATGATGACCAAGGTTAGACACAAAATGTACACTTCTCCCAGGTTTGTGTGTTTGTTTTCTTTCTACAAGTTTTTATCCTTTTTTAAATCTCAGAAATGGATCAAGTTTCAAAGAGATTTTGAGAACTTCAGAACAGCCTGTATCCCCTGGGAGAGTAGGATTAAAGAGGTGGAAAGTAAGTTTTTAACAGCACAACTGTCCTCTTTAGCTAAACAGTGAAAATGTATGTAAAAAAAGGCATCTCCCTCTCCACAGGTCACTTTGGATCATCTGTGGCTTCTTACTTTATCTTTCTGCGCTGGATGTATGGAATGAACCTCGTTCTTTTTGGCTTTACATTTGGACTGGTGGTCATTCCTGAGGTGCTGTAGTATAATCTTGTTTTTGTATTAAATGTTGCAATAAAATCAGTTTAATTTGCTCTTTCCAAAACATTTTCAAAGCATATAATGTGTGTAAAAATACATACAATTGTATGTCATTATTTTATAAGTATTAATAAAGCTCAAAGAGAATTTTGTCCAATACAACAGATTAAAATCAGACTGTGCTTTCCGATAAAGGTTTTATAGAGACATTCAAAGCACAGCACTCACTCAGCCAGCCTTCCTTTTAAGGACAAATTGGTCCAGAGCTTTGGACCACTGATGGCTGGAAGAAAGTTAACCTTTACTTAATTATGTTTTTGTTTTGCAGGTCCTGATGGGCCTTCCCTACGGGAGTGTTCCCAGGAAGACTGTACCCAGAGCAGAGCAGCCCACCGCTCAGGACTACTCCGTCCTCATGGACTTCCAAGTGAGTCTGATCCAGGATGAAGATGATGATAAAGGTTTTTAAATTACTGTCATATAAATTTGCCCAACTGTCACTCATCCTACAGAAACAAAGAAAACCACAAAATGTAAATAAACAAACTATTGTGTCTACAACAAAATTCATGGTACTTATTTAAGTATTTATAAATGTAAACTACAAGAAAAAAGTAGAAAAGATTAATTAAATAGTCCATCTCACCTTCTTTTCAAGACAAATAAAGAAAACTGTGAAATTATGAAACCATTTCAATGCTTACACCACAAAATTCCATGGTTTTGATGAGACACTGTGTTTTCCAAAGCTCACACAATCTGTTCACCTCCTGGATGTGTTTAATTTGCCAGCCAGAACACCTAGAGGAAGAATTTTAAATTCTGAACTGTGAGAGTGAAGACTTGGCTTCTAGATAAGTGAGACTGAATGTGTTTAGCTGTCAATAAAGTAAAAAGTAATAAAACACTCTAACCTAACATCGCAGCGCATTTAAGTTGCTCTGACTGTAGCTTTAACAGAAAATGTGAGCAAAAGAGGAATGAAAATTTGTAAATATTGTTGCCATCTCTTTTTTGTCTTAGGGATACTGCAAATATTCAGTCATGTTTTACGGCTATTACAACGACCAGAGGACCATCGGCTTGCTGAAGTTTAGACTGCCTCTGTCCTACCTCATGGTCGGGATCGGCACTTTTGGCTACAGTCTGATGGTTGTGATCCGCACGTGAGTCTGCACAAGTGTCAAACTTTTTCAAGGACGTTTATTGTTGAACAAGTTAAATCAAGTCAAAGTGTGGTGAAAATCATTAAACTCCAGTTCTGGCCATTTGAATGATTTGAGTTGGAAAAAATGCTTTTACTCTGAGTTAGTTAAAATATTTTTTTTATGTGACAAAACAGAGAAAGCTGTAACTTAAACATGGATAACAGAAAGCATAATATCATGATAAAACAACAGTAAATATGTACATTTTGAGTTTAATGATGCAAATGTGAAGATTATTTTGATAGTGCACAGGTTTGTCTGCCTACATGTCCAAGGCTGTTTGGTTTTTCAGAATGGCTAAAAATGCTGATGTTGGTGGCGGAGATGGAGACGAAGGAGAGTTCACATTCTCCTGGAAGATGTTCACAAGTTGGGATTATCTCATTGGTAATGCAGAGACTGCTGACAACAAGTATGCCTCCATCACCACCAGCTTCAAGGTAACCATGGCAACCATACACTTAATATAATATAGATCATTATATTTAAATAAGAAAGTCTGTTTCATTAGGTACTATATAAGTAAATCGTATTTTTTCAGGACACTGAGCTAACTGCTTCTCTAGTTGATTCAGTTGTCTACTTCCTTTTTTGCCAAGAACAGGAGTCTATTGTGGATGAGCAGGAGAACCAGAAGGATGAGAACATTCACCTGCGGAGGTTCCTCAGAGTCCTGGCTAACTTCCTGATCATCTGCAGCCTCGGTGGCAGCGGATACCTCATCTACTTTGTGGTGAAGAGGTCTCAGGAATTTGCCACCAGGGATGACCTCAGCTGGTATGAGAAAAATGAGGTAATGATGATCACATGGCTCTGATTCAAAATACTGCTGCTGCTATTACTAAATGTCAAAGGTTAAAGGTAAATTATAAATACTACAGCTTTCTGTTTATAGCTGGGATCCATAGAGTTCTAAACCCTTTATATAATAAACAAATGAAGCAACAAATTCTATGCAATTTTGACTGTTTTGGTCCAGGTGGAGATCATCATGTCTCTGCTGGGTCTGCTGTGTCCTCCTCTCTTTGAGACCATCGCTGAGCTAGAGGACTACCATCCTCGAATCGCCCTCAAGTGGCAGCTGGGACGCATCTTCGCCCTCTTCCTGGGAAACCTCTACACCTTCCTGTTTGCCCTGTTTGATGAGGTCAACACCAAGGTATGGTAGCAGTGTGTGTGTGTCCTCCCTTTCCAAACTGACCTTTTGGATAGTTTTCTAATGCTCCACATTTCCACGTATTGCTTTGATGATTATGTTTCTGAAATGCCTCAGAGAATCTCACCACAACAATCATCTCAATTTCTGAAAATGTTTTCTTACATAAGTGTCTTAAGAATATTGGTCTAATGATGGCAGTGTTGAATTGTTGCCCAGTCAGTCAATATATCTATTCCTAAAATGCTTTTTACAAGTGACTTTGCCCCTTTGACCTTTCCTATTACATTTTACAACTCGGTGATTTTTTTCTTGTGGCACCAACTTCAGGTTAAAATTTACACACCCCACTTATATTTTAGTGAAACTGTACAGTCTCTTTATTTTGTGAAGTGAAAATAATCACTGAGACTGATGTCATTTGTATGCTTCTCCAAGCATACAACTTCACATTTAACATTCAAGTGGTACATATTTAGAAAATGTACTATTTTTATATTTCTGTCTGGAGCAATTTTTAGCTTTCCCATAGAACATTCCCACAGAAAACTCTCCTTTACTTTCCTGGGAAGATTTCTGTATGCTGAATAGACATCTGTTGACTGATTGGCTTCTTTGCTCTTTTTAGCTTGAGCAAGAGCAGGCCATTAAAAACTCCTCTATCTGGGCAATGAAGGAGTACTACGCCAATTATTCACGCCTGGTCAATGACTCAGAGGCCACCCCACCCCCCATGGACCCCGCTGACGTCATCAGAGGACCCTGCTGGGAGACTGCTGTTGGCATAGTAATGAAAATCAAATCTCTTTTATAATTATTATTCTGGAATACAAAACAGAAACAGCACAACTTATCCACTAGTGCTTTTTAATTAATTGCAATATGACATAAGTTTCTGTTACATCTCATCAGTTACCACCAAATGTGACAGTTTTACCTGGTTGTCCTCTGATTTTAGAACAAATGAAAGGTGTGCAGACACATATGCTGACTTCTTCCACAACTTCCTTGTAGAGGCACAATTGCTATCAGATAAGTTTTAAGTTGATAAATAACTGGATTGTGTGATGTCCATGTTCCAGGAGTTTGTAAAGCTGACAGTGTCAGACATTCAGGTCACCTACCTGACCATCCTGATTGGTGACTTTGCCAGAGCCGTCATTGTTCGCTTCCTCAACTACTGCTGGTGCTGGGACCTGGAGGCTGGATTTGTGAGTGTGAAGGCCATTGTTTAAAGTTCACTTCAACTGTTAAGTTTCAATTCTTAATCAAACCAACCCTTAATAAATTCTATTAGCTGCAGCTGAGTTCACGAAAGAACTTTTTTTTTTTTTTAAACTAAAAGCACAAGGTGTAACTAACAACTTTAGTGATGGTTCATGGTTATACTTTTGTAGTGATAATTAGAAATGTTAGCATGCTAACATGCTAAGCCAAGATTGTGAATATTATACATTCTAAAATTAAGCATCTTAACATTGTTAATATTGTTAATATGAGCAGGTTGCCATGTTAGTGTTAGCATTTGGTTCAAAGCACGGCTGTCTAGCCTCATAGAACTGCTAGAATGGCTGTGGACTCTTTCATAGCTTTTAAAACTGTATCCAGTCTAGCTGTGGAGAAATATGTTGGTGACTTGATATTGTTATCATTTTTTGTTATTATTATTATGGCATTATGTTGGGTAAAACCCATTAACTTAAATAAATTACAGTTCTCTATCTAAGCCTTCATTAAATAGTAATCATCATCTCTGTTCATTTTCAGCCATCATATGGAGAGTTTGACATCAGTGGCAACGTTCTTGGCTTGGTCTTCAATCAAGGGATGATTTGGTACAAACTTCATTTTTATATATTCATTGTCCACAATTAATAATAATGCCACCCCACAGAAGATCCCTCTCCTTAGGCTGAGAAATCATGCATTAATTTTATTATATTTTTGTCTTCTTCTTTGTTTTTTTGTCCCAAAGTAAAGTTCCAAATGTTGTCAGAATTTCTTTTTTATAGTTCATAACTCAGTTTTAATTTGGCTTAAGTTTGATAGTACAAATAACAGTGTGTACTGGAAATATAGGACTAAAGAGCATTTTAAAAGGAAATCTTTAATGAGCTGTATCACAACATGTCAATAGGATGGGTGCATTTTATGCTCCTGGGCTAGTCGGCATCAACGTGCTCCGCCTTCTCAGCTCCATGTACTATCAGTGTTGGGCTGTGATGGCCACCAATGTCCCCCATGAGAGAGTCTTCAAGGCTTCCAAATCCAACAACTTCTACATGGGTCTGCTGCTCCTCATCCTCTTCCTCAGTCTGTTACCTGTTGTCTACACCATCATGACACTGCCACCTTCATTTGACTGTGGACCCTTCAGGTAAGAACAAGTAGTAAAACTATTAAACCATAAATCACTGAGTTCTATGAGCATAGTTAGAAATGAGAGTAAAACTTTTATATGCAGATTCCACCATGCTTAGGAAGAATTGGTGCTTTATTCCAATAATAGCATCTAATAAATGTAAATTAGGATTCCCCCCACTGGCAAGAAATTGCTTTATTCTGCAAGAAGACAAAACATTTTCGGACATCTGGCCTTCATTGGTCTCACAATCTCACAGTACAGCCAAATCTTTAAACAGTACATGCAGGTGACTTCTCTCGAGTTAATTAGTCTTTAACTGGTTTAGTAATCATGAATGAAACAAGCTGGGTTCTTAGAACATAGGAAAAAGTGACAATATTCAACCTCAAGTGAAGCCCAGCTTTCCAACTTAAGCGCATCAACAGGCAGAAATGTCATACATGTACATATGAGATACAGTCAGTTCTATCCATCCATCCATTATCTATACCACTTATTCCTGAATAGGGTCATGTGGGGTAGCTGGAGTACATGGAGAGAACTCATACAGGCATAGAAAGGCTCCGGATCAGCCTATGGTTGAACCTGGACCTTTCTTGCTATGAGACGACAGTGCTAACCACCACACCACTGTGCTGTCAAGCACTACCACATACTGTGGAATGAAATAAAACCACATCTATACAAAGATGTTATAGTATATGTTCAGTCACGCATCGCATACATCGGGAATGCATAGTTACAAATGAACATGAGCCAATACAGTCTCCCACATGCTGACCATGTTGATTTTAACAGTGGGAAGGCAAAGATGTTTGATGTGATCATGGAGACGATTGACTTGGACCTGCCTGCCTTCATGGGGACAATCTTCAGCTATGCAGCCAACCCGGGTCTCATAATACCAGCTGTACTGCTCATGGTGTGGGTATAAATCTATCACAGAATCTCGTGAGCCTCTTGTCAGTTTAGTTACAGTATGTTCACCACTACTTTAAAACAAATGTACTTTTCACATTCACACATCTCTGGACAGAAACATAAACACACCCAAACACAGAGAAATTTAAAGGTTTTTGTTTGTTGCTGCAAAACTTCCCATTTCATCTTTGCACCCACTGAAAAACAACAAATCCTGTCATCTCTCCTTTACAGACTGGCCATTTACTATCTGAACTCAGTGTCTGAGGCCTACCAAAACTCCAACATGGAGCTGAAGAAGAAGATGCAGATGGTAAGTAGATAATGGAGACAGCAGTAATGTACACTTCTGCACACTGCTGAGATGACTTATTTTGCCAACAGACTTTTGTTAACAAATGAGTGCAGCTTACTGTTCAAACTATTTTTAACTATGCTAGCAGCATGGCTCCAGGGAGAGGGACTTCAGCTGGGCCATTATTGAAATAACTCAAAAGCTTTTTGGATGGGTTGCCATGACATTTGGTACAGATATTCATGCCCTCCCTTAAGATTAAAGAAAAATAATAAAAACATAGACTATCACGAGCCATCCACACCTTCGCTTTCACCTCACTTACTGAATCTCTCAGAATCTTTCGTTTTCAGAATTTTTATTTATTTATTTATTTTTTGGCCCACCATCTCCATTGCTTTCTGTGTCCAGGCTCGGGATGAAGAGAAGAACCGGAGGAACAACACAGATAGTACCAACCAGGTCATGAAAGATCTAGAGGACCTGCTACCGAACCGATCCCTTATACCCCTAGCTCCTCCACCAGAGCCCGGTCAGTTAAATCCTGCACAGCTTTGCACATTGTCCTCTGCACTTAAATAACATTGTATGTTAAAAGTTGAAATGGTAGAGACTTGATGTCATGTATCCACTGAGATACTGAAGCTGTGAAACATACAACTGGCTTATCACTGTCTCTTTCTAAACAGAAAAAATACCAGAACCACAAGCAAAGCCAACTAAGACAAAGCCAGGGTCAGCTGGTAAAGGTGTTAACCTGGAGAAAGATGTGGCTCTGGCATCAACCAACCCCAACACGAGGGGGCCAGTGAGCCGGCCACCTGGGCCGAGAGGACCTGGATCGATGGCGGGTCCAGGTGGTGGACAGGGCCGAGGCCGTGGGAGAGGGCCCCCTTTGAGATAACAGTCTGTGGATATTATGTGTTCATCTCTCATACCATCTCTGTTCATTTCTCCTTCTTGCAGAATAAAGTGATTTCTTGTAATTGTGTGTGATTCTAATTTACATTTAGTGGATAGTCCCCATTTACAACCCACTTGGGCAAACATACATGAGGCCTCTATGAAGCCAGATTGCTACAAACTGCCCAGATGTAGCTCAAATACCAGTCTTTTACTAACCAGGTTGGAGCATAATTGGAATTTGTTGGCTGGATTGTTAACACCTTTGACTGAAAATGCTGTTTAACCTGATCAATGATAAAATAAATTTACAAAAAGAGACTTTTCTCATTGTTTTGACTTAAGTGACACGTGGTTTTACTAATCTGACATGTCTTGACACATTGTAAATCTAAATGGTAGAGGGCATATTGGATCTCTTTAATTTAATTCTAGTGTGTTAATAATGTCAATTATGTATGTTTTCATGTTGTTATAATGTGGTGATTTTTGGCCACACTGTAACATCTACCACTCAGTTTGTTCATGTCTATTAGGTAAACACAATGTGTGGTCATGTCTGTGCCCGAGGCTTTACACTGACTGATTCATGGTGTGATTCTGACCATGCAATAAATATATCAGATTTTATTAAATATCCTACTTTATTTTATTTAGTGTTCATTTATTCTTTCATTCTTGCTTTTCAAAATCTATTGCCTGTTGCAGCATGTTCTTCATGAAGAATAAGTCCTGTTACCCACAATGCAACTTGATTGACAATAGTTAACTGTGTTATTCCAGTGTTTGATGGCGACAAATGTATATATGTACTCCTTTATACCTGTTTTTTCACATATGCAATAATACTTCCCTACAGCTGTTACTAGTTCCCCTTTAACAGCCTGGGAGAGAAATGTCAGGCTCAGTCACTGTGCAAAAATAATAATGCATTGTCTCAGATCAGTATTTTGGGTGTGGGTGTGGGTGTGTGTGTGTGTGTGTGTGTACTTCACCAGCTCAGATATAAATGCAAATTTACAAATAAAAGTCCCACAACTGATCCAACCAGTCAGAAGTGCCAAACCCCTTAGTGTTACCTTGTAAGAATGTTGTCTTTAAGAGGTGGAGCACAATTAGCTGATCCTCTGCAGGTGAAAATCATCTGCACAGAGGTGGGTGAAAACACTGCAGAGTGAGCTGAACACTGGCACTAACATCCAGTGAGCTGCAGACAGAGAGTGAGGTCTGGCACAGGTGAGGTTTTTAATTACAAAGACGTTTTCATATCATTTTAAGACTGTTTTCTTTTTTTCCTCTTTTACATACTTTGTTTCTGGTGTTAACCTTCCAGCCAAGTAAATATGGCCGCCTTTAAAAGCTTCTTGGATAATGTCGTCCGTCGTAAAACCCCCACAAATGACGGCAGCACAGTGAGTACCATGCCATGAGAATACACCTGTTGTTAGTTTGATGAATATGATTCTAGTTTTTAATGAGTAGTGCTTTGTTTTCTGAAGAGCTGGAACTGACAGCTCTGCTTGCTGTCACGTCAACAGGCTCTTCTCCATATTTCCTGTCACCATGCCTTGTGATAAACCTGCTAGGAATTAAAAATCTTCTTCAGAAATGAAAAATACCTGCACCTATGAATCACTAATGTTTTGCAGCAGCCAGTGTTTGCATTTTTGCTTATACCTTTAGGGGCCAGTTAAGGGGAAACCCGTGTTTTATGGAACAGTCCCTCCATATCCGAACTTCAACGCCAGCAATGATGCTGCAGTTCTTAAGAGCGCCATTGAAAGTAAAGGTGTGTGTGCACACTCATGGTGTCTTAGGAATTACCTCATGTTTGTAAGGTTAGGTTGTTCTAGACATGATTTTGCTGTGGTTTAAAGAAAGTAAGATAAAGTGCAACTTGTCTGTCGCAGGAGTGGATGAGGATGTGATCAATGCAGTCCTGGTGAAGAGAAACAACGAGCAGAGGCAAAAAATTAAAGCTGTTTATGAAGCAAACGCTGGGAAGGTGAGTCATTCATGTCATATGGTCAAATAAGAAATATGAGCAACAGGCTGCACCCAAAGCACCATGTCTCTGACTTCACTTGGTGAGATGTTTTCAGATTTAAGAGGTTTGTGTCCCATATGGCATTGTGACAAGTCATTCATTCCCTAAACAGCATACAGTATGTATTTAATATAAAGTCCTTCTTTGAGGAGATGTGTTATGGTGGGGTCCCTCACCAGGGGGTGAGAGAGAATGAGGACTCAAAGTGCAACCACAGGTGCTAGTAAACAAGTGTCTTTATTGCAATATACATAGATAAGTGGACAAAGTCAATGGGTTAAGTGTGGTCCAAACCAGTGTTGAGCAGTGGAGGTTGAGAAGATCAGGATGGGCAGGTGAGTAGATGGGAGAACGGCAGGAACCAAAGGACAGGAAGGTGAGTAGACAGGTGAGCAGCAGTAACCAGAGAATGGGAAGGTGAACAGACAGCAGGTAAGATGACAGGCGAGCAGCAGGAACCAGGATGACAGGTAAGATAACAGGCAAGCAGCAGGAACAAGGAGGATTGCCGGAAGTAATCATGGCAGGGACCAGGAGGATCATCAACTTGTGTGGCTGCATCAAACAAAACAAATCTCACTGTCAGCATCAAACAAAACAAATCTCACTGTCAGCATCAAACAAAACAAATCTCACTGTCAGCATCAAACAATGTTTTCAGATTTAAGAGGTTTGTGTCCCATATGGCATTGTGACAAGTCATTCATTCCGTACACAGCATTAAAATTACAGCTACTATTTCAGTACTTATTTTACATTGACTCAAGTTAAAAACTTGTATGTTTGTGCCTAAGTTCTTTGCATTGATGAGAGAGTTGTTGATGTTATCACTCTTGCTACTGAAACTCTACAGATCATATGTCATCACAAAACAACATCACCATACTTTATCATATTTTATGGTGGTGTTCTGTTCTACCCAATCTCAGTCGTCAGTGTGTTTTTATCCTGTAAGTACTGCTTGCGGTTATAGTGGCCACTGTTCAGCAAAAGTTGTATTGTCTGTCTTTAAAGCCACTATGTGTAACATCTGAACATTTTCTACTTTGGACCCCTCTGGTCATAGTATCAAAAGATGTACTGAGGCAAATCCTATCACACATGCACAAATTGATACACAATAGCTTTCATTTTTGCAGCAGTCATTGTCAGTTTTACAATTCCACTCATGCCTAAATGTGGTTGCTGCTTGTATGTTGCAGAAGCTGGAAGTTGCTCTGAAGAAAGCTCTCAAGTCAGATCATGAGGACATCTGTCTGGCTCTGCTCATGCCACCGGCTTATTATGATGCCTTCCTATTCAGGAAAGCCACAAAGGTAAATATAGTTTACAGTATGTATTTAATATAAAGTCCTTCTTTGAGGAGATGTGTTATGGTGGGGTCCCTCACCAGGGGGTGAGAGAGAATGAGGACTCAAAGTGCAACCACAGGTGCTAGTAAATAAGAGTCTTTATTGCAATATACATAGATAAGTGGACAAAGTCAATGGGTTAAGTGTGGTCCAAACCAGTGTTGAGCAGTGGAGGTTGAGAAGATCAGGATGGGCAGGTGAGTAGATGGGAGAACGGCAGGAACCAAAGGACAGGAAGGTGAGTAGACAGGCAAGCAGCAGTAACCAGAGAATGGGAAGGTGAACAGACAGCAGGTAAGATGACAGGCGAGCAGCAGGAACCAGGATGACAGGTAAGATAACAGGCAAGCAGCAGGAACAAGGAGGATTGCCGGAAGTAATCATGGCAGGGACCAGGAGGATCATCAACTTGTGTGGCTGCATCAAACAAAACAAATCTCACTGTCAGCATCAGCGTTCACATAGCAACAACTTCATCATCTCCGTGTCAATGATCTGGCCAAGACGGGCCGTCTGCCAGCGTGTTAAATGGGCACAGCTTAATCAGTGGAAATGAGCCTCAGCTGTGCACCACACCCAGTGAGCTGCTGATTGAGGTGATGCCCCTCAGCTGTGTTGCCGAGCCTGCAGGATGAGAGGATGGAGAGAGAAAGGGGAAAGAGAAGCAGGTCGCGCCGAGCAGACCTTACAAGATGTATATTTTAATAGCAATAATTCTTGAAAGGTTATACACTGAGATTTTATTTACTTTTTTTGCTGCTGGGTCTTCTCTTGTGTGTTAGTAGAACATGCAACCAAGTTAAAAAAAAAAGTGGTGATGTGACAGTGTGCAAGGTTCATCCCCTTTTTTTTCAGTAACAGTTTTTCATGTTTACACCTGGAAGCTGCTTTTTATTAATTTTTTTTTTTAATTATTATTATTATTCCAACAGGGTGTAGGAACAAAAGAGGACGTCCTGGTAGAGATTCTGGCAACCAGAACAAACCAAGAGATTTGTGAGATCAAGAAGGTTTTCAAAGAAGGTTTGGCCTGATTCAGTGTAGTTATTCTATTAATTGTTGTCTACATGCTGAACTCTCACATTTTACATAATACCTTAGGTATGTAGCTGACAATGTTGAGTCTCCAGTGAAGTAATATATCAACACTGATGAACCATAATGATGAACCATAATCATCCAGTCATGAGGAATATAAGCCATTCAGCAACAGCTGTAACCACTGCAATCATACTTTGTTCCATTATGTTACTGTAGAGTCTGTTCTCTTTGTGTGGAAATGCTCTTGCATCCTCAGAGTACAAAGAAGAGTTAGAGGATGTTATTAAGAATGAGACCAGTGGTGACTTCAACAAGGCCCTTCTTGCCATGTTACAAGCAAACAAAGATGAGAGCAATGTAGTCGACATGGCCCAAGCTAAAAAAGACGCAGAGGTAAAACCAGGAAAATTTACGTTTGGAGAATACTGGCCTACTAAATCTTTGAGTAAAACAATCAAAACAAACTGTATTAAGTAAAGGAGTGATTCTGTTTTCTATCTGCAGGCCCTGTTTGAGGCAGGAGAGAACACAAAAGGAACCAACGTGTCCACCTTCATCGATATCCTGACCACGCGGAGCGGGCCACAGCTCGCACAGAGTGAGTGCTCGAAATGTGTGAATGCTTCATGTGTTGGTTTTGACTCCTCATAGTCTGAAACAGTTAAAACCTGTATTTCAAAGTGAAGGGACACATATCTGGACAGACAGGGGGCTCTGTTATGAACACTCACTCACTGGAGGGGGAGTGTGCGAAAAACACTTTTTTTTTTTTTGAGGGTTTATGTAATTATCTCATGCCTCATACACTAACTTTTTGGAGAGACATCTGGTTTATATTTGACAACTACAATAGCTCATTTAGCCATAAACATTTGTTCTTTGTCTTTACTTGCCAGCATTCCAGCAATACACCTCTGTCAGTGACAACACATTCCCTAAAGCCCTGGAAAAGGAGATGAAACATGACATTAAACACTGTTTAATGGACATTGGTAAGGTTTTTGTCATCATATCTTTCCTGCAATGATGTGATTTGGTGTCACTGGAGCAGGGACATTTCTGCAATTTTGAGTTTTGCAGTACATAGAGAATGATTTCAAAGGCCATGAACAGCCTTTTCTCAATCGGTTTCAACAGTCCTATATGAACACAAAGTTGACAACAGTTTTGATTAGTTTTCTGTGTCTGTTCTTGTCTGTGCTTTTCATCTGAAGAAAGGTGATGTGGTACATTCTGTCCACTTGTCTTGGCAGGCCACTGTCAATCAAACCACACCCATGTAGTCCTGGAGAAGCAGATTAGCTCAGTTTTTGACTGATCATGAAAACTAAGGAATTATTTTGTATATAGAAGAATGCTGATGTTTAAAACCAGATTTTCAAGTCCTCCTTTTGTCAGTGACCAGCACCTATCCTGACTATTGCTGCTTGAATGGTGATATGAACAATCTCTTAATAAGACTATAGGGTGCAGCGGTCATCCACATTACAGCAAGTAGAAAAAGTGTGTGACAGAATGAGTGACTCAACAAAGATTTTGCTTTTTCGGGTCAAAAGTTAAAAGTTTACTCAGTGAGTGGAGCAAAACAAAAGATCATAAGGTCTAAAGGATTCCTCCTCCAGGGACCATGAGTGAATGGAAATCTGGCCAGTATTGTCAAGCGAAACACCTTAAATCCACAAATTTTATAAAAAAATCCATCCGAATAAGTAAAAATGACAAGAACTGCATGAATTAACTATCCAAACAAGGCTTTTTCATTGGCACTGTGACCACACACACACACAAATTCACATTAAGCAAAAATACTATCCAAACAAGTCTTAATCATTGGCACTGTGACCACACACACACTGAGATGTAGTGTCTATACAATTTTTGGATGTTCTACAAGATGAACTATAACACAGACTAAAGCAACATCATGATCTGTCAGACTGCTGAACACTGATATTTCAATTCCAATGTCTGTGATTGTCTTCATTTAGTGAAATGTGCCTGGAACACACCAGCTTTCTTTGCTGAGAAGCTCCATCTGGCTATAAAGGTGTGGACGACTGTCTCTCTGCTTCTTTTTCTTATGATATGTCAGCGTGTCTGACTTTTTTTTTTTTCCTTATGTAACTTGACTAAAACATAATCTTTACCCAAATGTTTTGATTTGCTTGTCACCCTAAACACTGAAATAAATGTTCCAGTTTCTGGGTAAAGATTAAAATCCCCACCATGTACTCGGAGTGAAAAATGGTCTTGGCCAGAGTTTCTAAGTGGATTGAAGACCAAGGAGTACTACTCAGTCAGTGAAAGCAATTGGCTCTGTGTTGTGTTCTCATAGGGCCTCGGCACAAATGAGGCAACGCTGACCAGAGTGCTCGTGAGCCGCTCTGAGGTTGACCTGAAGAAGATTGTGGAGGAATACAGGGCCATGTATGGCACTAGTCTACAGGAGCACATAGTGGTAAAATAACCCATTAAAATTACTATTAAGAATTATATTTCCTGAATGTGTGCTTTTTATAATGGCTTTTTTTTATTACTCAATATGATCAAGTAAAAAAATCTAATTATAGTTTTACAGTATTTCAGCCTCCCACATCTTTGTCTTGGTTCCACAGAAAGATACCAGTGCATATTATCAGAAGATCCTGATTGGACTGTGTGGAGCCGGTTGAAAAAACTCAGAAATGTAGTCATAAGCTCATGAGAAAAGGTGGAGGAGTCAAATATTTTCTCTGCAATCTTTTGAAGACTATAATCTCACCAAAGTGCTCATCCTGTGATATGTTTATAACAGTTTGGAATAAGGTCATGGATTGCAAATTGTGGAAAAAAGTGATTTAAAATAACCAGTGAGAAATAAAAATCTTTAAATGACTGCCACATAAGAATTTGTTGTTAGATTTCTGGCTGCTATTCTTGTTTTTTTTAATGTGTCTCTATTTGCTTTACTATGTTTTTCTTTTTAATGAATTCTCCAGTAGGCTACATCAGTTCACATATACTAACCTGTAATTCACAAATGGTTTATTATATTACATTCAAATATGTTTGAAAATGTGAAGAAGGAAGAAGAGGAGGAAGGTGGGGTAGGAGAAAGAAGAATTAGGATGGGTAGAAAATCTCAAGCATGCAGCAGCTCATTTCTTTATAGTTTTCTCGTTTTATGACTTTTTTTTCCCACATAAATGCTGTTAATTTGCTTGTTTTACTCATTTGTATGTGTTTTCTTAAGTTGCAGTGTGTTGAGTTTCTGAGGGCCTTAGAAAAATATAGATAAAAGCCCTTGTATTTATTAAGGAGAATGAGAAAACCCAGTGAATGTGGTTGTCATGTATAGTTGTTTTTTCAGTTTGTGACATTTGTCCCATAAATGCTGTGTTAATTTGCTTGTTTTATTCATTTTAAACCAGAAAGTTTTTTTCATAACACTTACCCTTTACATTGGGAAGTGAATGACAGCAGACTTCAATCTATAAGCAAGTCTGCTTCTTAGAGATTTGTTACAAAACTGAAATGAAAAAGTAAAACCCAAGTATTTCACTACATAGTCTCACTCACCTGATTAACTGTAGCTACTTTGTTGCTTTTGACGCAATTTACGTCACAGTCTGCGCTTTATCTGCGCAGAGTTGCGCAGGAGCGACGCTTGTGAACACAAGTACGTGACGCGGAATGTTTGCCGTGTCCGGAAGTGCTGTAGCATTTTGGCCAGCTTGGATGTGTTAGACCTTATTTATTATGGTCAGCTCAGCCATTAAAATGGGTATTGTTTAGTTCTAAGTAAGCGACCACGTGTATTTGTTTGATGCACAACGTACTCCGAGTACGTGGCGCAGCTAGAAACTTTAGATAAAAACCTGACTGGTATGCGAGATGGATAGCTAGCCGGATAGCTAGCAGGCTAATTAACTGTAGGTTTGTATTCGTTTACTGCTTGTTTTAAAGCCAAGTTATAAGGGAAGTATGAGTAGGAGTTAGAAGACTGTTCACATTCTTCAGCGATAAATGCGATGCGGTTTAACTTCATTAATCAGGTGTCAGTGATGTTAGGGATACTGAGAACATAAGTACTTTAACTGGGCTTCAACTGGTTGTTTGTGGGCTTGAAAATGGATGAGAAATACAGCAGCAACGTACTCTCAGGGGGAAAACTGGGCATGGTCGAAGTGCCCGATTCCAGGTACGTCTCTTGTTTAACCATTTCATCTAACCGCTGTGGGTTATTTCTTGTGTTTTTGTCATTAAGTCAGCCAGGTCACATCACTACAGCTGTAGTCCATATGTTCGGGTTAGGTCCTTTTTTACGTTGCACTGCATTACCCACCTTCATTACTAATACGTTGTTCTTTGCCCTTTTTCTCTAAAGGTTAACTAGGTACATAGTTCTGCTGGTCATCTCGAAGGTTCTCAAGGCTCTAGGGATCTTTGAGTCATATGATATTCTAAAAGTTGTTCACATTGTCCAGTTTGTCTTCATACTAAAATTAGGGTGAGTGCTCCTGAGCTCATTACTTGAGTGTTCGTTTCATCCATGTTCTGGAACTTAAGCATTTAACTTTATTGCTTTATATATTTGTATTCAAGGATGTGACAACATGCTGACGGTGATCCTTCCTTTTTTCCTTCTTAGAAGTGCGGTTATTCTACTTTTCTTTCAAAAGCCTTTTTCCTCTGGCAAAGTCATCTCAAAAAGACAGGTTTGTTGGATTTCTTCATCTTCATCTAGTGAGTGATCAAGCACTTGCTTAATAATAATAAAAAAAGAAATGTATTTTTCTCTGTGGTTCATGACTTCTTTGCCATTTCAAACTTTTTGAAACCTGTTGCCTGTCAGGTTTTAGGGAGTGTTAGAAATGTTTAAGGAAAGGAGCATTTGTTCTAATACCACTGTAAATCCATGTTTTCAATCTGCCATAGTGATTAATCTGTGATTATTTTTTTTTTCAATCTGTTTTCTTTTAGTGGATAAAGTTACTAAAGCATGCTGTTTTCAGCTGTGTCGTATCACTTCTGGGCTTCTTTGGTCTAACTCTTTGTGGACCTCTAAGGTAAAATGTCTTGTCACACCAGTAGTTAGAGATGTCAGTACAGCCTGTAACTGTGGATGTGAGCAGATGTGCACTTTTAACTGTGTTTGCACCACATCTGTTTGCATATGCTGCTGTGTTCATGGTGTTATTGAAACTGTCTCATATCTCTCACAGGACATTGTTGCTTTTAGAGCACAATGACGTGGTGGTCATTGGTCTCCTCAGTGTCCTGTTCACAAGCTCAGGAGGGGGCCCATCCAAGGTAGGAGGCCACAAATTTACATCAGTACACTGAAAACAAAAACTTGTGGCTTAAAAAAAAAAAAAAGTCCCTTTCTATTATGTTTTGCCTTACATGCATTTCTGCTGGTCTTTCTACAACTCTGCAGACCAGAGGTGCCGCTTTCTTCATCATCGCTGTGATCTGCCTCCTCCTTTTTGACAACGATGATCTAATGGCGAAGATGGCAGACCACCGTATCCTTTCATCCTTATGATAGCAAGCGGTTAGGCCTGTTTTCACTTTATTAACGTAAGCAGATTGTATTGTTCATTACCATATTTGTCTCTTTGAATTATGTTTCCTTGACTCATCTTCAAACCAGCTGAGGGACATCATGACAGTGCGCTAACTCATTGCCTTCACACTGCAATTGCATTTTTAGGGGTTGCGGATCACAAAGTAAGCACATTAAAATGTTATTTTTATTGCAGTTTAACAATTACCGTATTAGTTTTGCTTTACAAATGAATTTCCATGTCTCTTCCTGTCCTTCCTGTCAGGGTGGAGTTGTGCTGCTGGTGGTATCTCTGTGTCTGAAAGTGGGCTTCCACACAGCCTCCAGGAAACTGTCAGTGGAAATTGGTGGTGCAAAACGCCTCTATGCCCTTGACAGCCTGGTTTCTGCCATGGTGCTGCTGCCATGGGTCATAGTGCTGTCAGTGACCACAGAAGTAAGTGCACAGTTCATAGCCTGAGCCCTGTGAACCAAATTTGGCTCTAGGAATGGCAGTATTGCTCTGTCTGTCTGTCTGTTGATTGCTCAGTGTGCTTTGGAATATCACAGCATTTACTGGATAGATTGTCATGAAATTTAGAACATGTAAATCAGTTGGTGCCATCATCAGATCTAATTTACACTTTATCCAGTGTCTAGTGACTACATTCCTGTTCCTTTAGAAGCAGATGTTAATTGTTAATTAACCTCTGGTGACCACAAAACTCTTGGAGCCGGGAATTATCAAACGCAGGGTTGGTGTTCCGATAGACTGCATTTTCACTCCAAATTAAGCTTGAAGCCTAATAAATCTGTTACTCCTATTTATTTTATTAGCAAAGATTAATGTTCTAAATATTCAGGTAAGGCCTTTTTGTTTTATGCTGGTGATGACTAGTCCCTTTCCTTGGATAAAAATGACGAAGGTCGCTGGCAGCAGATTGCATGAGTTTTAGTTGGTCAACCATAAATTAACCCACACTGGCTGTCTGTTCGCCAGTTATTTAAACATAGTTGGTGCTGTTTTTATTAATTTGACTGTTTATATAAACAAACTCTGTTAAATGCATCTTGTTTAGATCCACTTCTCCATCTTGTAAAATAATGACAACAATGTCTATTCATGCTCAAATGATGAATGACAAAAGGTTTTAATTTTACTATATCTTTTTAGTCAGATCATTATTTGACCTCCTCACTGACTGTTTTCGCTCTGCCTTTCCACTAGAGCAAAGTGGAATCATGGTCATCCCTCGTCCTGCCTTTTGGGGTGATCATCTTCTTTGTTATGATCCTGGAGTTTTATGTCGAGGCCATCTGCAACACAAAGATGGAGACACCAAGGTGTGCCCGCTACGGTGCCATTGCACTCTTCCTCAGTGCCCTGCTGCTGGCCAACTTCTGGACTCACCCGCTGACTGACCAACTGCGCTACATGAGCAAACCATCTCAGCAGGTCAGCACAGAGCACGTGCTCTCTGGAGGAGTGCTAGTCAGCAGCATCTTCTTCATCATGTGTAAGTAATAGATTTGGGAGTCAGCAGGAGAAGTTAAAGGTGTATGTACTTATTTCTTACTTTTATGCCTCCACGCCAGTGATATGTATCCACTGCCAGAGGCATCATCTTTTTGGGTTGTTCATCCATCTGTCTAGGCTGTTATTGTGAACGTAATATCTCGAGAAGGCCTTGAGGGAATTTCTTCAGATGTGGTACAAATATCGACTTAGACTCAAGGATGAACTGATTAGAGTTTAGTGGTCAAAGCTCAAGGTCGCAGTGACCTTACATCTGTCCTGTTCTCATGAACTTGACTGGTTGGCTGAGGCATACAACCTTGAAGCAGTAGTTTTAGTTGTAAGATCTTAAAATTATCTGTTAAAATGAGATCCAGAGCAAGGACGTACATGGATTAGCATGTTAACTAGATAACCTTTTTTGACAATTTCACATTGTCCTGGATCTGTTGGTTCTTTGAAAGTCTCACATAACTTGTCATGGCAACATGTCTGTAATGTCATACCTTCCAGGGTAGCAGGTTAGTCCTTAGGCTTATTCAGTGTAAACAACACAATGCCACAGATTTAAAGAAGCAACTCACTGACATCAGAGCAATTATAATTAAACATGAGCTTAAAGTATACAGACAGTACTGAGAGATCGACAGAACCCTTTGGCTTGACCCCAAATTGGTTCAGTTGGGAGAAAATAATTTACTGAGGTGGATTGTTAAGACCTTATATTAAGGGCAGACAAAGAGGAGCTGTGCTCTTACCACCACAGAGTCGTGTGCACTGACCTCAGATTTCTCTGTTTTTTATAGAGGGTTGTTAATGTGGAAAATTTAATCAAGAGCACAATTTTCCGAGCTATTTGAAAAGTGCACCTGGCTCTGAAACTATTCCTGTGAGTTTTCATAGTCTGCCTTGTTCCCATGTGCCTTAAAAACAAAGGATCTAAAGCTTATTATTACATTTTTCTCCATGTGCGCTACAGTTGCTTCAGGAATGATTCTCACCCCTACAGTTTATGCACATTTTACTGCTGTAAATTGACACTAAAAACAAACAAGGGGTGAAGCGGTGGGAATCATACTGCATCTGACATGGCAGGATTTATGAGGAATTCATAAGTTGAGTGCTTGGCATCAGAATCTGCTTTATTGGCAAAGTGTGTCGGACACACGAGGAATTTGACTCGTATGTATATACAGTGGGTACGGAAAGTATTCAGACCCTCTTAACATTCTTGCAGATTTATTAAAAAAGAAAAACTGAAATATCACATGGTCATAAGTATTCAGACACTTTGCTCAGTATTTAGTAGAAGCACCCTTTTGAGCTAATACAGTCATGAGTCTTTTTGGGAATGATGCAACAAGTTTTTCACACCTGCATTTGGGGATCCTCTACCATTCCTCCTTGCAGATCCTCTCCAGTTCTGTCAGGTTGGATGGTAAACGTTGGTGGACAGCCATTTTCAGGTCTCTCCAGAGATGCTCAATTGGGTTTAAGTCAGGGCTCTGGCTGGTAAGGGGGTCTGAATACTTTCCGTACCCACTGTATCCCCGTGCAAGGGGCAAGTAAACAGTAAACCAACATAAGGCTGTGTAGTATAACAAAATAAGCAGTATAAACAGGCAGTAAACAATGCAGACACATATTTTAACAACTGCATGAACTAATGTCACATGATGATGTGAATGGCAAGACACTTTAAGTGAGAAGAAACTGATCTATTTGGATCAAGTGATTGCTGAAATGTGTTACATAATTATTTGCAGGAAAAAGAATGAGAGGTGCTCTAATGTTGTGCAAAAAAAAACTAAATTTGGAGAAAATTAAAAGCTGTCATTTGAGCATTGAGGCAAAGCATTGAAGAAAAAAACAATAATAATCATTGTAGAACTTGTCTGTGCTCGCATTCATTTTACCGGATTGTCACTCTGGATGTATGAGCATACAGCTGTGCGCAGCATTACTATTAAAATTTTAACAGAACTACTATAAACTGCGCTGTCATATCAAAGCAGTGGATATGCAGTCGTGGCAACATTAACTCTTTAAATGGATATTTATGCATTTTATTTGTCAGCCACTTCCCTCTGCATTTGACAGTTTTGTTTTTGCAGCTATGTGCAAATAAAATCTTTAAATCCTTCACCACCCTCCAGCAGAAGCTCTTCCTCTGCTGCGGTGACAGACTGCACTCTCTCTCCTGCCTGCAGACAACCAGAAACCAGCTGATCATGGTTTCAGCTGTCAACAGCTGAAACCATGATCATAGTCTAGTCTAGACATAGTCTAGTCACTGACCATGAGAACATACACTTATCTTGGATGATTGAATCCAGCTTTTCTAATCCACAACACAGGTGGGGGTTGAAGAACCAAAATATCCAGATAATAAACTGGCATTAAAAAAATCCAGAATTGCTCATTTGATCTGGGATCTGTTATTGACATACGATGAACAACCCCCAGGTGGGTTAGGATGAGAGGTGCTCTAATAAACAAAGAGAAATACAAATACACACATTGTGATTTAGATGCACTTCCCCATTTGGACTGAAACAAAAACAAAGAAACGGGTCAGAAAAAGACCTATGTATATCCACTATAGTAGTCAGTCAGATTTTAATACAAAGTTCATTTTAACAGAGATAAATCCACAGTATTATATTATGTTAGCAACAAGTACTAGAAAGCTAAGACTCATCAAATATGATTTTGATTTTTCTACCTCCAGTGTGAGATGATTGAGATGAACTTGCATTAAACATTTCATACACTGCCCTCTCTTGTATTTCTCTGCAGCGTCCAGTATTCTTACATCTCCATCAAAGAAAGGTCACAAGGGCACCTTGGTTGGTTATTCGCCTGAAGGCACTCCTCTTTACAACTTCATGGGCGACGCCCTGCAACACACGTCACAGTCTCTGCCACGTTTCATCAAAGATTCATTAAAACAGATCCTGGAGGAATACGACTCTCGTCAGATCTTCTACTTCCTGTGTCTTAACCTGGTATGTGCAGTGTCAGGAGGAGAAAATGTAAAACTGAATGTCAAGTGTACCATGATGGATAACACTTGGTGGGTGGGGGCTTTGGATGTGGGGTGATGGGAGGCAGTTATTGAAACACCTACAAATGCATGTTTTTTTTTTGTTTGCTTTGTTTTGTTTTTATGCATTGCAAAGCATTGCTTTTGTCCTGTGTTGTTTTTGGGATTTTACAGAGTCAGATTTCACTTTTCAAAGTTAGTGCCTTGTAAATAGCATACAAAACCAGGAACAACTGAAAATATTATTAAGTGCAGAGTAGAGTGAAGTGAAGCATTACAATAATAACCAAGTCATGACAAAAACAGCAGTCTGTTGACAATCCAAATAAGCTAATGCAGGGAAATCCCTCACAAGGACCATCTGACTGTTGGAACACTATAATTTCAACTCAGAGAACCTGCAGCCAGGGCGGCGCTGCCATTTAGGACACCATGGTCGTGTCCCTGGTGGTGTTTTGGGGAATTTGTAGGGGTTAATGGCTCAAGAAAAGTTTATGTTCTACATTCCACACAGATTGCACATGCTGGTATTTCTGGTGAGTTTTGACTCAACAGATTTAAATTTGACTGCATCTGGTAAATACTGTGTAACATTACTGTAAGCCTTTGTAGAAAAGGCTTTAAGACCATGTTTAGATCAACATTTTGGAAGAAAATGATGATCGTACCAGTCAAAGATTTATTTCCAAGATGTAAATAAAATTTCAGCATTGTTTTCAGAAAATAATTGTTTCCACTGGGGCCTGGTGTTGTAGATTGGGTCTGACCTCACACAGACTGTTGCTGTTGCTGCTGTGCATTTTACAGGTGTTCACCTTTGTGGAGCTGTTTTACGGCGTTTGGACTAACAGCCTGGGGCTGATCTCTGATGGCTTCCACATGCTGTTTGACTGCTCTGCTTTAGTCCTGGGCCTGTTTGCTGCCCTTATGACCCGCTGGAAGGCTACCAGGATCTTCTCCTACGGGTAAACTCCCATCAATAACACATGAAAAGGTTTTGGTAGGAAGTGCTGGAGTAAGTTCAGCTGGATGTTTAAGAATGGACTTGTTCTGTGCAGGTATGGTCGTGTTGAAATACTTTCTGGCTTCATCAACGGTTTGTTCCTGATGGTCATCGCTTTCTTTGTCTTTGTGGAGTCAGTCACACGTCTGTTGGATCCTCCTAACATAAACACTGACATGCTGACTGTGAGTAAACCGCTTCTGCATGTAGAGGCTTGTGACTGAAAGTGCATTTGCTCCTTTTTTGATGTACTTTACCATTTATTTGAAATGTCCCGATCACATTTTTGCCCTTTAATCCTGAGAAATTCAGTGTCCTCCCCAGATAGTTAAATTCTGCTGAATACAGCTGCTCACTGCAAACTTCAAGCTCCTTGTCTTTAAAATGTAAAATTTAAAGAATTTTTGTGTAGCACTACTCCACCTGTGAGAAATGTTGTTCTATGTGGTTCCACTGGAACTTTCTAATGCCTTTAATGTTTAAAGTGTTTAACATAAAGGTTATGCTACTGGTTATTTTCAATAGGGATTAACCTGCTGATTATTTTCCTCAATCATCTGACTGGTTTGTAAAACTTCTGCCATCGGTGAGATATGCCGTCACAATGCTCTAAATGATTATCACTGTAGTTAATTTATTGTAGCTGCAGGAAATTGCAGCCATTGCACTCATTTATGTGAGTCTGGAAAGTTTGTGCGTTTCTTGGGTCAGATCGGGATCAGTATGAGTTCTTCTGCAAGTCAGAGATCAGAGAACAAATAGACAATGTGGCAAATACCTAGCCTGTGTGGGTTCTCTCCGGGTACTTCGGCTTCCTCCCACAGTCCAAAGACATGCAGCTTAGGTTGGTGACTCTAAATTGTGCATAGGAGTGAGTGTGGGTGTGTGTGGTTGTTTGTCTACATGTTTTCCTTGTGATAGACTTATTGACCTGTCCAGGGTGTACCACGCCTCTCACCCAGTGCCGGCTGGGATTGGCTCCAACCCCCACAACCCTGCTCAGGAATAAGTGGTATAGATAATGGATGGATGTTATAACTGACGTTTGTTGTTTGGGGTTAAAGTTGTAATCGGGACACATACTTGACCTGTACAGAGGGATGGTGTTCTCGAAGGTATTCATTTTTGAGCTGATTTAAATTTCTTTTTTGGTGGATGGAGTTCGGTTATTTTAGTCTCCTCCTCTCTGTGTGTTCGTTGCCGAGTGTGACAGGCAGTTGGTGAAGATAGATGCACAGGCAGTGTGTTTAGTTTTTTTTCTATAATACCTGTAATAAGCAAATGCACATGATAACCATCAATTTTCATACTATATACATCAATTTTCATGATATACTGTGAAGCTGGTATACCGCTGCAACCCCACTTCAGAAGTCGGCGTTCTGTTTCTTGTCTCCTCCAGCCGGTGTCTGTCGGAGGCTTGCTAGTCAACCTGGTGGGTATCTGCGCATTCAGTCATGCTCACTCCCACGGTGGCAAAAGCTGCTCCTCACATGACCATGGTCACTCGCACCATGGCCACTCCCACAACGAGCACAGCCATGGAGGTCACGGCCACTCACATGGGGGACATGGACACAGTGTGCACGGGCACTCTCATGGCTCAGGGGGTGGAGGCATGAATGCCAATATGAGAGGTGTGTGTTTGGAGCAATGCCCATAAAATAAACATGAAGAGGAAATGGTTGCCAGATACAGTGCTTGTAATGTTTATTTTTTTCCCTAGGTGTTTTCCTTCATGTCCTAGCTGACACTTTGGGCAGCATTGGTGTAATCATCTCCACCATACTCATCCGTCAGTTTGGCTGGCTGATTGCTGACCCTATTTGCTCGCTCTTCATCTCTACGCTCATTTTTCTCAGCGTCATCCCTCTGATGAAGGACTCCTGTGAGGTTCTTCTTCTACGAGCTCCGCTAGAACATGAGAAAGACCTGAACAGTGCGCTGGAGAAGGTTAGAAGTCACACATGGTGATGACAGAAAATGGTTTTACTTCTAGTCATACTGACTCTTTATTAACAGAGTATGCAGACATAAATTTACCTTAAAGGACTTTACTATCTGTACAGTGTACAACACCCTCTGCCCTTAGACCCTCAAATCTGATAAGACAAACTCACCAAAAACCTTTAACTAGAAAATAAATGGAGGAAACCTCAGGAAGAGTAAGAAGAGGGATCTCTTCCAGGATGGACAGATATGCAGTGAACATTGTGTACATAGTAGAGCGATGTAGTAGCTTTTAGCTTTTTTTTTTTTATGCAGACCCGGGTAAAGATGAATGAATAACAATATCTTAAATTCCTAGGCTGTCAAAGCAACCATAGCAGTTTCTATGTGAAGAGTGCACTCTTAAAAATCATAAGCTTCCAGATGATATTTCAAATATAAAAAAGTAATGAACCCTCACATACATGTTTGTTCTTTTTTTTTTTTTTTTTCTTGTTTCAGATCGAGAAGATTGAAGGCGTTCTGTCATACAGAGACCCTCACTTCTGGAGGCATTCAGCCAACATGATCGGTGGGACCATCCACCTGCAGATCATGCCCGATGTTGTGGAGCAGAGGATCATACAGCAGGTCGGTACAACCAGTATGGTTCATGCTAATATTTCACTGCAGGGTCCATATCTGACAACAGTCTGGTCCATCTGCTGGGATGAATCCTAATGTTTGTTGACAAAAAATGCTATTTGTTAATAGACTTGTAGTCAGTGGGTCAGTGTGATCAGATGGACAGGTAGTTGACTGTAGAATTTTTGATTCATAGGTCACACCCATTTTGAAAGACGCCGGGGTGAACAATCTGTCAGTCCAGGTGGAGAAGGAGACATACTTCCAGCACATGTCAGGACTCAGCACCGGATTTCATGAAGTTCTGGCAATGACACAACAGATGGAGTCTATGAAATACCTGAAAGATGGGACGTGGATCATGTAACGTCCATCTATGGGACCAAATGAAACATTAGTGGTTCTTTTTCATTGAAATGTACAGAATATGTATGTGATTTAAATAAATATGGATATACTGGTTTAATCATTGTTTGTTTTTGTGCAGAACAGTTTTACTGGGTTTCTGTCATTCTGGTTGGGTACCCGCAGGTAATCCCCCATAAGACCTCAACCTTTTGAACACATTACTGGAACACATTATGGCTGTAGCTCTGTGTTTAATGGACAGAGAATCAGTCTTCCCATCTCGCTTTTGGTATTGCTTTAAACACATGGCAGCGCCTGAAGGTTACTCAATGTAAAGTATATTTCCATAGGAAAGTCAGAACTCACTAACATTGGTCTTTCTAAATCTAATTGGAAGATCACGCTAAACTCTAGAGGTGACAGTAAAATCAAGTATTTCCTATGTGTGACTTTAGTTACTAATGAAAGAATTCTACCTGATCATGTTGAATAACCTTTGCTTTATTGGATCAATGAGCATTAATCTAATGCATATAAATGTGAAGAGAAATACAGTTGAACACATTCTGTTGCTGCAGTGCAGAGAGAAATGCTGAGTATGATACATGATATATGTTGCTCCATGAACACAGAACTACTTGAGAGCTGACGACACCGAATTGACTGTAATGTGCAAAAGAACTGGTTTGACGCATCCTGTTTCCTCTTCTCTTCTACTCAATCTCATTGGAGGCTCCCACAGTGGCCATTGTCTCCATATCTGTAGGAGAAACAAATCGGGAAGCATCAGAATTTTCAGCAGTGTGTGTTCAATATACTGTATATCATAAACCGATTGTTTACCTGGACACGGTCCATCCTCCACAATAATGTCATCAATGGCGATGTCACTCCTTACTGACGAACCCCTGGTTGCTTCAAACACAATCTGGGACAGCAAGGCAAAGATGAACAATATTTAATTAGTCAGTTTTAAAATCTGTTAGCTGCTGTTTATTAGGTAGAAAAAGATTTGTATGAAAGCGCTGTTAGTGGTTTTCCTGATTTATTTTTTTTTTTTTACTTTATAGTTTATCCTTTTGTTTAAAATCATGACATACTTTTTTCACTTAATTCATTTTTTGTCTCTAGCACCCTGGACCCTAGACCTCCACAAACTCCAAAAACCTCCCAAGTAACCTGGTAGCACTCGCATTCAACACTGTCCTAAAAAGAATATCTGACTATGGATCAACTTTGGCCAGGTGGTGGCGCTAGGAGCAAAGGTCATGGAGCATGAATGTGCAGGGCAAATATTGGGTGTTTACCATTCTAGAGGTCAGAGGACATGTTTGGGAAGATTGTAAAGTTGGCCCAGTGACGGTGCTAGAGTTCATATAAGGTCCCAAAAATCAACATTTCTCTTTTTGACCTACAGTATGTTAACACTCAGCCTCCATGGTAGTTCAGCTGTGGAGTGGGAGTTCTTGCCCTTTCACAAGTTTGCTCAGTAGTAATTGATGAGCTTTTGTTGTGTTAGCATCTTATTGGAAAATAAAAATTATCAGGTATCAGTCAAATTTGAGACACTTTTCTAAAGTTGTTACACTATCTTAAACTATAAATGCTATAGTTTGTGGACCAGTAGCCTGTAAAAGTAAACATTAAAATATAACTTTATTATTAGTTGACCACTAATGTGGTCAGTCAGCCTGCGAATTATGATTATGGGCTTTATTTTATTACAAGCCAAAAAGATGAGAAAGCTTCTAGTCAACAGACTTCAAATATAAAATGTTCTACTTAAGAAAAACTGGATAAATGTTCTGTTCTTACCTGGTGTTGGCTGTCACACTGATACTGTACTCTGGCCCTCATCCAGGAGATGCTCTTCTCACCACTCTGTTGCCACAGTAACAGGTCCTCTCCGTCCTTGTCCAGGTGAACGCTGAGCTGACCTGTGCCGGACCCGTACATGTGATAGTAGAAGTGCAGACACTGAGGCCCCCTGGAACCCCTCATAGGGCGAGACAGCAGCCTTACGTTCTGACCAGGCAGCAGAGGCGATGCCTCCATGTGCAGGTAGTATCCTGTCAATCAAAGTCAGCAGGTTGGTTTGTGGACAGACTTTCAAGTTTCAGATATAGACTTTCACACATGCTGTGTGAGTAGCACCCAAAATGGTTTTGTATAATTGTGCTACAGAATAAAAATGACACCTATTTGAGTCTGAACATAAAACATGGAAGCAGACTATTGTGAACTGAGGAGAGATGAAGTGGAAGAGACCCTCACCGAGTCCCATGGTGTGGTCCCCTCTGGGACCAGTGTATGAGGTAGGGGTGGGCCCTCTCCTCCTCTCCCAGTCAGCAGCATCGTGATGCTTGTCCTGAGTGTAATCACACAGGCCTGCTTCAAAGTCACAGCGTCCAGGGAGAGGTGACGACAACACATCTGCAACACGAAAATGAACGTCAGTATTTTAGGTAACACTATATTCTGACAGTCCAGCACTGAAACACATCTATAAACTGAATATTTTTGGTTGCATAACTCTGGACTGACTCTAAACTGATTTTTAATCAACCAATCAACTTTAGAAACGAACAGTTGTGGATGTAGCAGCAGCGGCCCAGGCTAAATTAGCTGGCCGGGCTATTTTCACATCCTCAACAAACAGTTTTTGCAGCATCTCTCAAACCACAACATCAACAGTAACCTAAAGATGCAAAGAGGTTTGGACATCTCTTAATTCATTTTTGCAGATTTATTTATATTTGATATGCTTAATATGAAACTGTTTTGGATTGACTGGGTGGGGGTTGGGGAGTTAGGTGATATTGTACTTTAGCAGTACACATTCCCTAACAAACTTGCAGATCCCAGAGCAGTTAACAATTAACAATCCAGCCTTGATTCCCAGATAAAGTTGAAATATTCTTCATAAATCATGGCTGCCATCAGCATAACCACTAACCACTGGGCGTATTGTTTGATCACATAGTAAATGTATGGCCTTTAACAGAGGTGTGAAAACAGCTGCTACCCTGGTTAGTGGCATGTGGATACATACCTGTACTGCATGTATTTAGAAAAATGCAGATAGTTTTGAAATTGTTACCTGCTGTCAGCTCACAGTCTCCGAGGCTCACGCTGATGTCATCTAGAGCCACAGCGCCACAGTCCCAGAAGCTCCTGCAGGTGCTGATGAAAACTAGCTAAACAACAGATAAACAGTGAGTTTCCCACCTTCTCACCATCTTTTTTCTCTTCTGTATGTCTTTGCTTGTTCTCTCTTTCCTCCCTTCCCCACTTCCTTTATTCATGTTTATTTATTTTTCTTTTATATTTTCATTTAATAACTCATTTTATTTCTTTGTTCCTTCCTTCCTTCATTAATCATGTTATTTTTTGCCTCCTTCTCTTCCTTCCTCACCCACTCCCTTCCTTCTTTCTTTAACTTAACCTTCCTCTTTTCTTTCTTCTCTTTCTGTTAGTTGGTTTCCTTCACTGACATTCTGATTGAAGTGGTATTTCCACTTCCATCTCCTCACACCTTGGCAGGCTGAGATGTTTGGAAGGTAACATCTGCTGCAATCCAGATTCCTCTGGACTTCACCCCCTGAGTCCAGATCTTCTCCTGGCTGTTGCTCTGCTGCTCCAGATAAACAGCCAGAGCCTGATCTGTCTGGTTGAAACCTGCAGTAGCCAGAGTTATTTCTGGTAAATACATAAATCACAGTAAAGGATTCACAAATAGACCTAAACATCACCACACAGTCTCGGTAAATATCTATCAGTCTGGAGAGTTTTTGGCTGCTGCTCACCCCTGAGAGAGAAGTAGAATCTCAAACAGTATTTCAAGTTCCCAGCCAAAGTTGGACCAGTCAGACGGCTTACGTAGCCCACGTGTTGGATCATCTGTGAGTGAGCCAACAGGAAAGTTCCTGGAAGGAGATGAGAGTTTTTATTTTTGTGTGTAACTCTTCACAATCTGCTCAGAATGTGCTTGTCATGGAATTATCTGATTTCAACTGTTTTTCAGCTCTTGGCACAACATGCACACATTCAGCTCCTGATCAAAGTGGTCAGACTGAACCAGGGAGTAACTCTGCTGTAAAACTAAAACAATAAGCTGAAAGGGGCTAAAAAGCTCTGTAGAGCTTCGGAATTGTCAAATAGTTTCCCATGATTTTGGAACCAAAACTGTCCTTATTTAGTCATTTTAGCAAGTGTTTATATACACATCATAAAATCCATTGTCACATAATTCTCACCTGCCCCTGTAGTGTGGTCTCCATTCCTAAATATGTTGGGCCTCACAGACACTCTCCTCCATGGCGACCCTGACCGCTGGTCCTGCATGTAGCGGCAGAAGCCTGACTCAAAGTCACAGTTGGCTATGGAGGGGTCAAAAATCGGCTCTGCGGAACAAACATGTGGAAATAGGAGTGATGTTGGAATTTTAATACCTTAGATTTATTAGCAAGAGTCATGTGACATGTGCTTTGGATGTTTCTCATCCACAGAGGATGATCCTCCTGCTGTCTTTTCTGGTGCCAGACTGTACAGAGGAAATATGAAAATCAAAAAGCCAGGCAGCTATTTAGAGTCGAAGGGGCAGTTTTATGGCTTCAAGTCAGGACAGATTTTACTTATATAGCACAATATCACAAATTATGCCTCAAGCAGTTTGACATTTTTACTCATTTTCATATAATGTAAACCTTCAGGTCCTGATGTATCAAAGCTCTCATGGCTTTTGCAGCTATTCAGTGCATCTAATGGAGCTTTATGATATTAGTGCTTTAAAAGTCCTAAAATGTTCATATTTTGGAAGTTTTGATTTCTCACCAAGAAAGCATTACTTCAATAATTTAACAGTTTTAATGAAATGTTGAGTCTGAATGAGTGTTGCTGCAGCTCACCAGTGTCTTTGCTGCAGAACTCTGGAGAAAAGGAAATGTCATCAAGTGCCACTCGTCCACCTCTTGGACTGTTAAACGCCACTTCAAAAACCACCTTAACGGGCAGACAGACATATGAAAACAGACACTCACAGACAAAGTGTAAAAATTTAATTAAGTGCATATAATTTTATAATACTAGCACTTAATCATTTATTGTATCTATTTAACTAGGTTGGTTCTGCTTTTTATTTCTAAGAGGAAACTCTGTTGCACATGTTTCAAACTTATATATTCTTACTTTGATATTGTCATCACATAGAGCTTTAAAAATTCTATATATGAACCAGATATTTGTGCTGACCTGTATCGAGTATGGTGCTTTCAGTTCCACCTGCACAGGTATCCACTCTTCAAGCATTTGACTCCAGTCACTCTGGTTTTCTGACTCTGCCCTCCACAGCTCCTGGTACTGGCCCAGTCGGTCCCGGGCGAAAACAGAGAACAGGTTCCCTCTCTCCTCACTGCGCTGGTACTGAAAACTCAGGCAGCCAGACACTGGCACCATTGTCATGGGAGACACAAGCTTGGCTACTTCTTTGAAGGTCTTGGCATAAATGGAGTCAACGTACATGAAGTGGCCTGAGGGAGAGTTTCAGTGACACTGACCTGAGACTTCCGAGCCTTAGGATTCAGGTCTGTTGTTATACTGGTTATAGTATGATGCTTACGCCCAGTAAACATTGATTTGGTCAGGTCTAGACATCCATATTTAGAGTAAGCAAATTTTTGTTTTACATTTTTAAGATATTTTGGCTACCTGTATTCATTGTTTACATTATTCAAATGTAAATCTTACTCACCTGTCCTGTTGTTGTATGTGTGGTCATTTGGCAAGTTGTTCTGAAGGAACCGGACTTCGCCTCCTCCCACATACCAGTTTACATTGGCATTCCACTGGTTGCTGTATCCACACAGGTGAGACTCCTCAAAATCACACTCTAGACACAGACAAATGAGGAATCAGCAACAGACCTGCCATGATGGGTGAGAGGATTTCATGCTGTAGCAAATATGTTCATGTGTGTGCAAGGAACAGAGCAGTGACATGCATAACGAGAGTACTTCTTTCACTTTTCTTTAGGAAGGACATGGGAGTGATGCATGGGTGAAGTCACTGACCCAGGCAGTATCCAGGGCTGATGTGGATCTCAAAGATGGCCACGCTGCTCCCAGCGCTCTGTCCAGGTTTACCTTCAATGACAACCTAATGAACAACACATGTTCAATAACACTCTGTAATCAGTGGTATGGACTGACACCGAAATAATATCATAGGTGATCAAATGTAAGGAGTGTGCAGGGAGAGTGTGCGCATGAAACACAGAAATCTCATTCACTTTCAAAGGTCTTGTAAGCAGTAGGTTCCCTGTAAAAGAGCTCCCAGAGGAAGGGATGGAGAAAAAAACTGTTAAAACATTTGTACATGGGTGTATGTGTGTGGGACCAAGTAATGTTTTCATAGGAGGGGTTAGATACTGTGGACAATAGACAAATAAAATCAAATAGCCAATTGCTATTTCATTATTTTGCAGTGAAACATGATCATTCCTGTTATGTCCAGCTACCACTCCCAGTTTCAGCAAAGATTATGTCATATTAGGGAAGAAAAAAGTCAATTTTATTGTTTATTTAAAGCCACGTTAGAGTAATACAGCTGTTATTGCTCATGTGCTGGCAAATAGCAGCTTATTTCAGCATTCAGGAAACATTTGGTGTTTTGTTTGCATTCAACCAGAGAATGTACTGTAAGTCCAATACTCTGTCCTTTTATCTCTGGTTTGGTCTCCACTAACTCCTATTGCTTTCTACCTGCTATAGACCTTCCACTTTCTCCACTAGCTAACGTTAATCTGTGTGTTTATCTGTCATCTGCTGCTGGGCAAGTAGAGCGGGTTTATCAGTTTGTTTGCTGAACACAGCTCTATGCTCTTGGAAACGGGGTTGATTAGAGCCTGTGACTGAGTGTTAGAAAAAATAATAATCTCAAGTATTTTACTGTAGTTACTTTCACATACGGAAGCTTTCCATTTTCAGTGAATGATGTGCATTGAGTGCGATGGTAGAATTGGAATGAGGTTGGCATAATTCATCTTAAAGAACCAAGAATGGTGAAACAGCTAGCATGGCTCTCTCCACAGCGTATTTCCTAAATATCAAATTATTCCTTCGTGGGGTTGAATAAAGTGATTAAAGTAGTTTTAACCAAAGCAGCACCATAAGGTCAAAATTTAAAAGGTCATTTGACATGTGAAAAATAGACCTGTCACTGTCGGGAGAAAATAAGGCCATGACAATAAATTAGTGGGTTTGTTTTCAGTGAAACTAAAGAGCAGAACATGGTAGAAGTTGGCTTTAAGTTTTAACCTTGGACATTTAATTTTTTCCCCCAGCTCTGGACTGTAGTATATTATGTGAAGGGGCACACATAGCACAGGCCTGGCTAACATTTATGTAGGCCATGACCCTGTCAGCATCACCCTCTGTCTGTAATATAAACATGTTCTGTACTATTCTGCGCAATGCTTAGATTATGTGTGTGTGTTTCTCCGCACACTTTATATAGGCCCCAGTTTAGGCTTTCATGTGTCATGTCTTCCTCTCAACAGCGTGAAAGGTTTTCTGTAGTATTTTATCTCCATAGTTCTGCACCTCCTGCTGTTTTTTAAAAATAGAGAGTTGGAAAGTCGACATTACTGCGACAGAATACACTTGCAAGCTTTGATTATTTTAAGACGTACCACTGTTTTTGTTATGTGCTGTTTGTATGATTCCTAATGATTTTAATAAATTTTCATCTACAGTATCTCAAAATGAAGAGCTGGACTTACATGACAATTACTGTTTATATTCCTTGTCCCAAAATGAGCAATATTTATGGTGACCACTGACCAGTGTTGTTGTTTTAACTATGTAGAGTTTTAGATTTTAGCTTTGTTTTTTATTTCAAGCAGGTCTCCTATGATTAAACATTATAAGATATTTTACCCTGTAGGGCTCAGTATTGTTCTGCAGGTCCATGCTTGAGATGACCCAGTGGTCAGAGGGTGTCTGGCTGCTCATTCACTATGCTCCAGAGACGGACTCAGAAGGACCCCTGTGATCTGCATCTGCTGCCCGGAGTCTGCACCCGCAGCTGTCTTATCGCTCTGGTCATCAGATGAGGCTGCCGCATCCACTGCGACAAAACGTCCTGAAACAAAAAGGTGTGGGATTTATAAAGAAAAACTGTGATTTAAGGGACAACATCTTGTTCAGTAAGATGAATACTTTGCACTGCATGTTATAAGGTTTTGGGTATTGGAAGTGTTTTTATGGACCTTTCAGTTAGCCACTTGGCAGTTTCTTGGCAATCCATCACATCACTGACAAAACATGTCACTCGGAACTCAAAATTTCATACCGTGATGCTACATAAAGTGTCAGTAGGAGGGTGCCACAGTCGTAAGGAGTTGTCCTTTTGACTTATGCGTCCCTGTGGAATGGTCTTTCCCCAGAAGTCCTGTTGGACACTCACACTGAGATCATTTCACTTTCAATTCAGTCAGTTCAAGACGCTTTTCTTTATTTTTCTACAAAAAGGAGCAATCACTTCCAAATGTTTTTATTTACGCATCGAATTGCACTCACTTAAACTGACATGGTTTAATTAATTAAATCCATGTCAGTGCAAGCTTTAGCTTCTGAGAGAGGAGAATAAATGAGCAGAACACCATTAATGCACCAACCACACTGGCCTTTTTAAGAAGCTGATGGCAACAGCAACAAGGATGGAAACAGGAAATGAAGACGGCCAGCGAGACAGGCTGCAATAGCCCAGAGGTTTTCAGACAAGTATGAGCAAGACTGACGGTGGAAAAAAAGCCTTAATAGTTTTTCCAACATAGTTGCAGGTACAGTATTTACTGGAACAGCAGGTCACTGTCATGCTAGGAGGAAGCCTGCCTCACCTGTCAAATCAGACATATCAAATGGACTGCACTTATATAGTGCTTTTCTACCTTGCCTGGACAAAGCGTTTAAAATTCACCCATCCCACTCACACACCAGTGGCGGAGGGACATGCAAGGTGCTGACCTGGCCACCAGGAGTACCTTGGGGTTCAGTGTCAAAATGTTGTTAGCCTAGCTTAGCATAAAGACTGGAAGCAAGACAAGTAGCCAGACTGGCTCTGTCCAGAGGTCAAAACTGCATGTCCTGTAGGCCTACCACCACCTCTAAAGCTGGCACTAACACCTTCTATCTCACTTGTTTTCTCTTTAAGCAAACAGATATGTAAAACCTTGATTTTGTGATTATAGCTGATGGCAAACCATTTATCTGTCTGCTCAGCACTTCTTTGCACTTTCTTCAGTGATTTTTTTGTTGCCACACTAAGTCTCTGGGATGTATCTTTTGGGAGAGCCAGGCTAGGTTAATTCAAGTTAAAGCTCAGTCATGGGATTAAAATCTTCTCAGATCACTCTTGTAATGAAAGCAAATAAACATATCTCCCAAAATGTGGAACTGTTCCCAGACTTTATTGTCACTCCATAAGGAAATGCTGTAACACTGGGTTAAAAAGATTTACGATTTTGGTATTATATCAAGTTCTAGTAACGAGCCAACTTGGATTGTTGTGCTGTGGTAAGTCACTGTCACTGAAGAACTGAATGTTTTCTGGTCATAAACATGACTGTCTGACTTGGCTAGAGTTTGAGAGTGTGGATGGGAAAATGAACTCCACTTAGGACAATTGTCAGCCTTGGGGCAGTGTTCACATCTGGAATCACACCAGTTCATGAACCCATTCTGGTTCATCATTCACTAAGAGTCAAGCATTGGTTGAGATGCATTAGGTGAAAGACAGGTAAATTTAGAGATGTGTTTTGTGTGGTTAAGATTGGGTTAAAGATCTGTGCTCTGTAACATCAACATAACCTCCACTTCATGTCACAATTAACATGATGGGATCCTGCTGCTAGTGCAGCGTAGTATAGACACATCTGTCCCCTCAGGTATCTGCAGTCAGAGTTTTCTTAGTAGTTCTGGCAATAACTTTTCTCTCCACAAGAGAATCTACATGCACAGTATCCATCCATCCATCCATTTTCCTCCACTTATCCGGGACCGGGTCGCGGGGGCAGCAGTCTAAGCAAAGATGCCCAGACTTCCCTCTCTCCAGACAATTCCTGCAGCTCCTCTGGGGGAATGC